CGCGGCGCCTACCTCCAATCTAATGCATTTATGCAACAGGCGCGGGCGATCGATGCCTGGCGTAATATCAACAAATATTCTGTTACTTTTTATTTCCTCCCATATCGTGGGCATCGCGTTCGCTGTCCGAACGAAAATCGGGATGGACCATGATCGCGAGTGACTTCAAATGAGGAATCCCCGTTTTTACAATTCACCTCGGCAGACAGAACGCGGCAAATACAGGCCGTGCGAATACCACGCGTTCAAATTACGTTTCGATTGGCATGACGTGTTTTTTTTTATTACTTTCCGGTTCTTGGCATGACATCTTTTTTCTCAAAACTGTGGGAATTAGGTTTGTTTGGTGAGCTGTAAACGGATAACACTGCTTGTGCATTTTAACTTTTGCACTATTACAAATACTTTTATTTATTTTTATTTATTTATTTATTTATTTATTACACTGACGCACACAACTATCATTACAGGCTGACCCAATGCGATAGTGTTATATATATATATATAACACTATCACACTATTATATATATATATATGCACGTATATATATATGTATATATATATATATATACGTGCATATAATAATAATACATATACATGAACGTAAAAAAATTAAATGAAAGGTTACCTACTCGTTATATGACACAAATAATACAAATGGTACTGTCCTATTAATGACATAGAAACACTAAAACTGTGTGCATGCCGTTAGGTTCCGTAAAATGAAATTGATGACGCTTTTACAAATGTATTCCACCATATTAATAAAAATATTATTTAAAAAGGTGAAATTCGTTCGGTTGAATTTGAACTATACACTACCTAGCAGCGAACAATCATGGTCATAAGTAGGTACAGTCTTTAAATATTGGCACATTCGCATCCTTATCTCGTTAAGACATCCCGAATAATCCAGTCGCGTTTTCTTTTCCTCTCCAGCGTTCAATGGAACTTTTGTTTTCCTTCTCAACAATAGAACTAAACAAACCTTCAGTGGGGGGGGCAATTCCAAGTTAAACAAGGCGCTTTTAACAAGTTGAGCGGGAAAGCCGATTTGTCGGCGACATTTGAATAAGACGCGGAAATTTGAATGAGACTTTCTTTTGGCTTCCGAACGCTCGCCGGCGAGAGCCTTTTATTTTGCGAAGTTAACGTTAATCTTTATACAAAATTGATCGTCTTTTTGTTTCGTCTGCGTGCCCTACTACAAGTACACTATGAAGCTTTGCAAAGCTGTCGCTCCCACGTTCGGTACATTTTACATTTCTCATAAACGCCATGCACCTAAAATATTTTTATTTTATTTTGTTATAATTTATTTCCTTAATAAAAAAGAGTAACATTTCAAAAGGCAGTTCATTACAGATATACCTTTACTAAACCAATGGTATATTTTTTTTAAATATTTCTGAAACAATGATGGATAGAGCCATGAAAAAAAATTGACAAATAAATATAAAAAAGGGGTGGGGGGCAAACGCGCAGGCCGAAGTTCTGATGGTAAGCGATGAGCTGGTACACCACCGCCAATGGACACTTGCAACACCGGAGGAGCTACAATTGCGTTGCCGGTCTTTGAGGTAGGAGTAGGCTCTCTTCTTCAAGGTCCCTAAGTCATATCGGTCCGGAAATAACGCTGTATACCATTATACCAATTCGCTCCCTTTCACCCGTAGTACATTTTTGTATGTGCCCGCGAAATCGTCCGCGTGGAATTTAACAAATAATATATTGTTCAGTCACCATAGTATATAATAAAAGTAGCCTATGTTACTCATATTACACCAGCTGTCTGCCAGTGAAAGTCCCGTCAAAATTGGTCAAGCCGTTTCAGAGATTAGTAGGAAAAAACAGATAGACAGAGTGACAGAAAGACAGACAATAATTGTTAAAAATATTATGTTGGCATATATATCGTGTATACATCCATATGGATGTATGGAAGCATGAGCTTATGGAAGCAGTGATAGCTCAGCAAGCCGCAACAGCTCAGTGTCCGGGCGCTCGCCTTTAATTCAATATACTCGAGCAACCTGAGTTCGATACCAATGGAATTGTTAATTTTAAATGCCTAATTATTACGTGCTCAGCGGCGAAGGAAAACATCGTGAGGAAACCTGCATAATTTCGAAATATTAACAAAAAAAATATTTCGCTGCATAATTTCGAAATAATAACAAAAAAAATTATTTCGAAGATATGTGAAGTCCGCCAATCCGCAGTGGGGCCGCGTGGTGCACTATGACCTGATACCCTCTGTACAGAGGAGGCCTTTGCCCTGCAGTGGGACATGTATAGTGGGACATGATACGTTACTTTTTACTACGAAATTTTATTGATATAAGAATCAGTATAAATTTTTACAACAGCTGACCTCATTTACTTTCCCTGGTTGAACCTGTTCAGAAGGTGATCAGCAACCTAAGAAAGAATATTTCACAACTATAACGAATATATTTTTGCAACACGGAAATCGTCTCGTTTTAATCTATCAACACAAATGAAAGTTTTTTTTTTTCTCTTTCACACGATCCAAAACATATTAAAAACTATAATTAGAAGTATTTGCGTTGGCATTCGCGTAAGTTCTACGTTTCGCTGACGCACAAACATTTTATTTTTGGATCAGAAAACGCTTGCAACACAATGCCAAGGCGAATTTTCGAAAGAAACTCGCATCAACTATATTTAGACCCACGGCGGGCCCTAGATTACGATCAGTAAGTATGATTATGAATTGCTAATTATTGACTTGCCAGGTAGGGCCACGCAGCAGCCTCGGCTGTTGCACGAATGGGCAGGCCCGTCCGGGTAAGTACCACGACCACACAGAATCGGCATAAAGTGGAAGTATAATACTTTCGCGTTTCGTCAAGCCCAATTTCAAAAAAGGTTGTCAACGCATCTGCAAACCCTCGGGTGTAGCAGATGTCCATGGGCGGCGGTATTCACTTTACATCAGGTGAACCGTCTGCTCGTTTGGCAACTTTTCAAATAAAAAAAAAGCTTGTATACTTTTTCAAAGTATTTATTGTGGCAGGTAGATTCTGAAATTCACAAGTCTTTTAAAGTCCATCCAATAATCTCACTCTTTTGTTGTATATTTTTAGGAGCCCATCATTAATTCATGGCTCACATAAGACGAAGCATATAATTTTTAAAAAACCTAAAGCTCAGTTATAACAACTATTTATGAGTTTTTAAAAATTATGTAGAGAAATGGAAATTAAGTTTTTCTATACTACCACTTTTCACATGCTGGAAACACATTAGATGATTTAATTCAAATTTAAATTATTTTTTTTTAAGATATGGACGAAATGTTTTTCGCTACTACAAGGATTTCAACCTGCTGTTGTATGAAAATTTGGTCATTTTCTGCAAAGGAAACGCATAAGATGAAGCCAATCATTAAAAATGTAATAAAAAATCAATAAAGATATAAAACGTTGAGATTAGACATCGTCGCTGTGAAGATAAGACTTTATAGCTCATTGGTCAGACCGCCGAGCGCCTGATGCAGATTCAAATCTTTGCAGCGGCGAGAAACTTTTCGTGCAAATTTTTTAAAATCCTAAGTGCGAAAAAAACCACTATAAAATAGAATATCCTTTGAAGATTTGTGAGTTATCATTTTCACCAAGCTTTGACCTGGAACCCTCCTTCATTGCTTAACATGTAACAGACATACACAATATTAAAATAATTTAATAATTAAAAAAAAAAACTATAAATAAAAAGGATTATTAGCTTTTTATATCAATAGTTACTAAGTATATTGTAAACTGAACAAAACTATACACAATACTATACTGAGTAACCACTGAACTTTTAAAGTTATTAAAGTAAATTGAAAAATAATTGCAGAATCAAAGATGGTATTAATCAAAGGTGTTATTAGTTCTTATTAGTAGTATCTACGAGTACTACTTATTTTGATAATAGGTAATATGGTGAAAAGTAGCTATATATTATTCCACTTTTTCGCCGCCAATCACGTAAATTAGTGAGTTTATTTTTATTTTATTTTTTTATGCGAAAAGTTGTCAAACGAGCACATGGTTCACCTGATGTTAAGTGAATACCGCCGCCCATGGACATCTGCCACACCCGAGGGTTACAGATGCGTTGACAACCTTTTGAAAATTGGGCTCCGGTTACCTCACTCACCAGACGAAACGCGAAAGTATTTGTCATACTTCCACTTTACGCTGGTCTTCTGTGAGGTCGTGGTACTTACCCGGACGGGCCTGCCCATTCGTGCAACAGCCGAGACTGCAGCGTGGCCCTACCACTAATATAGTAGTGCTTATAATATGATAATAGCTAAGGGGCTCATTTTTATTGCAAGTTATCTAGACCCAAACTGAGCAAACTTGCTCTATGGGTATAAGGTAAAGATATTTAAACATACTTTTCTTTTGTAAATAAAGACATGCTATAGATATATAATCCCACAGACATAGAAAGGCACTGTATTCTAGTAACTTTAATCGAACCCACACCCACTGACGCAAGAGACATTCATTCTGCACTACGTCAAAAGGGTCTTTGCATGAGAATTTCTTCAGGGCAAATTTTAATGTTCCTTATCTGGATCGTTTATATTTAATATTCAAAGGAATTATTAATTATGTTTTTAAACAACTTACAGTACCTCGTAAACTTGTCGCATAGACTAACGAAAAATGTCGTTTAACCTTATATACATATAAGGCAACAACACGACACGTCAAGATATAAAAGAGGCATTACGTCATATTCAAAATCGAAAAAAGAATTCCTCGGTGTCGTTAACTTTCTTCGCGCTCCACAAACGCGTCAATTGTTGAAGGTTGATTTAAAAAACAATCAAAACCCTCTAGACCGGCTTTATGTATTAGAAGGTACAAGTGTTTGTACACTCATTTATTCCGTGGCTCTGATTGCCGATGTTCGTATATCGAGGGACATTTATCGATTTAAAAGAAATCACAGCTATAAAAAATATTAGCACGCCATGTTTGGGTTCCTCTACAAAGCGCTGGCAGCCGCAGCGCTCGCCGCTTTCGTGGGGTTGTATCAGAAGAACAGGAACGCGGTGTGCAAGTCCAAAAGACGGCTGGACGGCAGAACCGCCCTCGTGACAGGCGGCACCGATGGCATCGGCCTCCAGATAGCCGTCGACTTCGCGAGCAGAGGCGCGAGGGTCCTCGTATGCTCTCCTTTCCGCAAAGAGGGTGCGGATGCCCTCAAGGTCATAATCAAAGAGAGCGGCAATAAGAACGTAGAGTTCAAACACCTCAATCTCGCCTCCTTAGAGTCGGTGAGACTGTTCGCATCGGACGTTACGAAGAGCGAATCGCGACTCGACATTCTGGTCAACAACGCGGGCATAGTGACGAAGGGGTCGAGCAGAACAAAAGACGGGTTAAACTTCCTGATGCAGGTGAACTACTTCGGACATTACCTGCTGACCATTCTCCTTCTGCCGCTGTTAATCAAGACCGGGCGAGTGTCGGAGCCTAGTAGGATAGTTAACACGGGTTCGATGTTACACCACGTGGGTTATATAGACGTCCGCAACTTGAACGGCCCGACGGCCTTCTGGCGGCTGAGCCAGATATACGGCAGCAGTAAGCTTGCGTTAATAACGTTCACCTTCGAACTGGCGAGAAGACTGAAAGGTAGTGATGTAGTGGTGAACGCAGTAGACCCGGGTGTCGTGGGGACGAACCTACTTTACGGTATCGGTCTGGTTTTTGGGGCTATAATGAAGGTCTGCATAGGGATAATGTACAAAACTCCGTGGGAGGGCGCCCAAACCGCGATCTACGCGGCTGTGGACGATGACGCCGGTAAGGTAAGCGGGGGCTACTTCTCGAACTGCGGGATAACTGCTGCTAACCAGCGCGCCTATGACGGTAAAACCGGGATAGCACTGTGGGAAGAATCGGCAAGGCTCGTCAATTTATCCGAGGAAGAACTTAAACAATGTTTAAAAGGTGTTCAAGTGTAAAGCCGCATACATTATTATGATATTAATTTATGTAACCGCTTAGCATGTCTGTATTGTTAATACAAATTCGTTCTACACCGAAACGATTTTTATACCTATTTCTGGTGGTTCGATTCAGCCTTATAATAGAAATTAAGATTAAAGTGGTTTTTCCTTAAAAACAAGAAAAGTAAAGATAGTTCAAAACAATTATACATATTTTATTTGTAAGCATAAACTTTGTGATACAAACATTGAAACGGACATAAACTATTAAAGTAAGTACGAGTTTAACGTGAGGTCTTTCAAGATCAAAGTGACATTTTTACTAAGTATAAAAAAACATGTTTCTTTAAGTACAAAGAATCTAAGGACTATAAAAAACTTTAAATTTCTAAAAACCTGTTTCGTTTCCCTGAAAATATGAATTAAACTTTGGGGTGTTAAAACTTCTACTGTGTTAAGGCGTTTTTTAACATACGTATCATCTAGTCACATAACTGTTAACCGTCAGAGGAAATAGTTAAGCATCAGGTAAAAAGTATTAAGAAAATTTAAATGTCACTGTATCGTTCTAATACCAAATAAATACAAATGAAACGGCGCAATAACGTTAGACGTTTCGAGTAAAACCTACATTACGTGAAAACACAATATGGCGGCGGAAGTGACAATGCGACCTCCTTGTACCGCCTTGGGGCCTGCTAGTTCCATTACGGTAATAAGGTGATATAGGACAAGGGCAGTTTACTAAAGCGTTTCAATTCGAACGACAGCATTAGCAATTTGCTATCCTCACAGCATTGTGCACAATGAATATGAGACGTAAAGGCGAAATCTATTTGGGTCGGAAAAGTATCGCTGGTAATACTTTACTACAGAAGTGACATAAATAGCTTGAAATATATGGTATATATAAGCTTAACGAAGGCAATGTGTTAAGGACACGCAATAGTCTTTCCTGTTGCACGAATGGGCAGGTCCGTCCGGGTAAGTACCACGAGCTCACAGTGGACCGGCGTAAAGTAAGAAGTGTTATACTTCTACGTTTCTTGTGGTGAGTGAGTTAGCCGGGGCCCACTTTATTATAAGGCTGCAACGCATCTGCAACTCTACGGGTGTTGCAAATTTCAAAGGGTTGCGGTTATCACTTAACGTCAGGTGAACCCCCAGCTCGCTTACAACCTTCCCACATGAGAATTAAATTAAAGTCACAAAATCATAATAATTGAATTGTTAATAATTTAGTGTGTGTAAGAACATCTTTATTATACTTATAAAATATAATTAATATATTATTAAATTATTATTTATTGCATTGAAGTTACCAACAACAAACATATCTACACAGTTTTAAAACGTTTCATAAATAGCTCTTACAGTTTCATTTTACAGTACCTATATTAAAATCGTTTGAAACACACATCACATAGCGATAACAAAACACACGAGTAAAATGGTAAATTGTTCATCAATTTTAATTTCATAGACCGCTATCTCTTCCCGTATCATACGTTCTAATCATCTGTCACATTCACCTATATATGTCAAATACTGTAAACTGGAACAACTTATCAACGCCGCGCAGTATAAACATGCGTCATCTTTATTAAAACATCATTGTATAACTTACTACACCCTGTCATATTTTACCAAAACTATTTTTAAAAACTTCATGAAAATGAAAATCTCTTACCATCTATATCTAATGCAGAGAATTAAGAGTTAAAAGTTTTTTTACGTTATAATAAATTTAAATTCAATAACAGACTTGATTGGCTATTTGATTTAAAAAAAACTGCTTCAACGTTAAATAATCACCTGGCTTTAATTAATTCATTTAAGTTGATTAGGATAGATGTTTTAAATAAATAATTAGCATATAATATAAATTAAAAAAAAGTGACCAAAAGACAAAAAGAAGAATTGCATCGGCCGGGAATCGAACCCGGGCCGCCCGCGTGGCAGGCGAGCATTCTACCACTGAACCACCGATGCTACACAACACAGAACGAAAAAGGAAAATATATAACAATTTTATTTTATAAATAATGAAAGCCGGGCTTTTCATGTTAACCTATAAAGTATTCTAATCTAAACGTTAATAAAGTTAAACATCACTGTCGAACAATTCAGCCATCCCCTTGCCGACTTTTATTAACAAAAAAATTATATATCTCCTACTGCAAAATTTTCGAAACATCGACTGATTACAGCTGTAGAAAAGTACATTACATTACAATGTACTGTTTGTGTAAATTCAATAATAATACAAAATAATGAATTACAAAAATTCTGCAAAAAGGCGATCCTAATCTATGAAGGAAAATCGTAAAAAAATTCGTAAAGATGAGTTTATCATCTTGCAAAAGCGCGCGCGTAATAAACATTATATCCGAGCCGTCGTAAGGTGTCGTTAAGGACACAATATTTTCCGAATAAACATCACTACAATGGCGGGAAACGGATATTCGGCGGTCTCTATCGCAGCGCGACCTGTATCGGCACAAAGCGCGGGAAACGACGCCGCGTCATCTCCATAAGCGATTACGCTACCAATACATTATGAGGAGGTCAGAAGACCTAGAAGAGCTCTGTACCCATTAAGATATTACTCCTTTTCAACTCTTAACTTCGCACTGATTTCAATATGAACGTAGATATTGTACGTATTGACAAAAAATTGAGATTAGCTCTACAAAATAAATTGTAGATGTAAATCGCGTGAACTTAAAACGTCAATGAAATTAGTAAAGATTTTTCTTACTACCTTGGCTACAAATAAGTACATCAAATTCATTATCAAGCAATATTCTCCTTTACACATGCTTTTTATTGTAAAAACAATAGTCTAAAATTTTATTATACTGTTTTATGCACGCGATTTTTTATTTACATTCTGTAAGCTTGTCTTTATTGAAGATTTTCCTAAAGCACGTGACACTTCAATCATTTTTACATCCCCACATACAGTCCTGTAATAAACGAAAAAAAACGTCAAATCACGTAGATTAGTGGTCGATGCTCCACAAACCTATTGTTGTGTCACCACAAAGCTCGCAAACGACCCAACACAAGCGCCTCCGCTCGACATTTTCATCGCACCGCCATTAGTAAAGCAACCCCGCAGTATTTAAGGCATACCCCCAAGATTAACGCCTCAGTCAAATATGGAAATTCGAAGGAGATCCGTCACACCAAATCATATTTCGAAAACGAATCAAATACGAAACGTAGGAAATTAAACAAATAAAACAATGTGTCGATTGTACTGTTAAAATCGACATAGACTCGCAGACCTTTCTTCGAAGTCAGTCAAAGATGAGCGCGCAAATCGAACCTTTGGATCTGTCGAACAAAAGCGAGAGTAAACTGTTGAGTGTCCTCGACGTAAAGTTCCTCAGCGGCTTAAACGGGCACCTGGCGAGAATTTACGAGAGGAGTGGCTTCGCTGGCGGTTGCGGCGAAAGGGCAACTTTGGCGCGGCGCAGCGCGTACACCAAAAATGTACTGCCCTGTCCTGTCTGCTCGAAGACTTTCGACAGGCCTTCGTTGCTCAAACGGCATATGAGGACGCACACTGGTAATTATTGCATCCGCGATGCGCCGGCGCTCGCCATCAAATTTGAAGTCTCTTAATCGGGACAGGAAATATATCGCACGTACTTGAGCGGCCATAGTTCTGAGTAATTTAATGTGTGATATTTCTTAGAGATATAAGTCATATTTAATAAATATAAAAGAAGATGCTTGCAAAGCTACGTTGGGCCCCTTGGGGGTTCATGGCATAATACAATCAGTGCCTAACTCTTTCTAGACCTTAGGGAGGGCATCACATATGCTGTTAATTTACCGTTCCACCGTATTAACCGTACCACGTAATACATGAAAATAACAGTTGCAGATGATAAAGACAATATTATATGAAATACGAATGAAAATAACATATAATCTGACCTTTAAACTTTCGCAAAAGCACAAATGGTTCCGTTCGAACAAGCTACTACGGCCTAACAGAAGTAAAATCAGAAGTGTTTATTCCTTTAGCTCTGGTTAGTCTTTTATTTTTTCATGTGAAGTTCGCAAGAGTGCGATCTTCAACAATTGAGTGCCCATTATGTCATTTACCAGATGAAACACAAAAGTATAGTACTTCTCACACTGGTCATTCTATGAGGCTTACTTCCCCGGACTTTTGCGTCGCCCTACCCAAGTAAAGCCTTATTTAAGTTCTGTAAACAATTTTGAAGCTTTCGACATCATGGCACATACCCATTTTAATATATTAGTATTTTATAATGGCGGGTGGCTGTAAAATAAACTTTTTCTCAATACGTATATCAGCTGACCCTACATAGTGGTTTATTTTCTACCCTTGTTGCAGGTGAAAAGCCGCACGTGTGCAGCGTGTGTGGCAAGGGATTCAGCACGTCCAGTTCGCTCAACACGCACAAAAGGATTCACACGGGTTCGAATTGTATAATTAATCGTTGAGCCCCGATTAGTCACTTGGGCAAAGTCCCGAAACGTAGAAAACCCCTCATTGTACATTATTGAAGTTTTCTATGTTCAAAGACATGATTTCGAATAGTTGATTATTTAAATCCATACTACTAATATTATAAATGCGAAAGTAACTCTGTCTGTCTGTCTCGCTTTCACGCCAGACTACTGAACCGATTTAAATGAAATTTGTTACACAGATAGTCTAGAGCAGTGATTCTCAACCTTTTTTTTGTTGCGGCACATATTTAAAGATTTCAAAATTTGGCGGCACACAAAGAAAAAGATAAAAAATATTTACTTACTACAACACGCTGCATAAATAGTTTATGACAAAAATTTTAAATATACGAAATAAACTAATATATACTACAATAATAACTAAACGTTTATTAAGGGATTAATTACAAGCTAATAATAAAAAATATTTTTTTATTTGAGCTGATGTTTTTTGATAATTTCATTTATATTTTGTCGTAAAATTGACTATGCTACTCTCATATCGCCTTCTACATTTAACAATCTTGATCTTTTTTTAGAACCGTAATTTTTTCTTTTTAAATGATAAATTTAATATACATTATTATATATTTGCAAAATTTGGCGGCACACAAAAGTGCCGCGGCACAGTGGTTGAGAATCACTGGTCTAGAGCCTGAGAAAGGACAGACTATTTATTAATTGGAATTTTTTTTTTAATATTTATTTAAGGGAGAGCCGTGACAGCTCAGTGCCCGGGCGCTCGCCTTTAATTCAATATACTGAAGCAACCTGAGGTCAATCCCCGGTGCCGGCACTAATGAAGTTTTTAAGTGCTGACTTATCACGTGCGGTGAAGGAAAACATGGTGAGGAAACCTGCATATTTTCGAAATAATAACAAAAATAATAAAAAATTTATTTCGAAGATATGTGAAGTCCGCCAATCCGCAGTGGAGCCGCGTGATGGACTACGCCCTGATACCCTCTGTATAGAGGAGGCCTTTGCCCAGCAGTGGGACATGTATAGGCTGTTACTTTACTTATTTAAGGGCTTCAACGCGAGTGAAGCCGCGGCCCAAAATAGGGCTAGCTCACTATATGTCAAGAAGCGGCTTCTGCTGTAAGATTGAAGTCAAGAACCGTGACGGTGACATGTTACATACTTTTAATTTCAACCTATATATCTGAGCTAACTGCTACAAAAGCTCCATTCACAACATTCGAATCTAAAAGAGCACGTGCCATGTGCGAGTCAAACTCGCGCACGAAGGTTTCCGTACCATTGTCTATAAAAACGGCAAAAAAAATCATGTCCGTTGTATGGGAGCCCGGCTTAAATATTTTTTATTCCGTTATTATAGCGGCAACAGAAATACGTCATCTGTGTAAATTTTAATTGCCTATCACGGTTCATGAGATACAGCCTGGTGACAGCCGGACAGACAGATAGCGGAGCCTTAGTAATAGGGTCCCGTTTTACGCTTTGGGTACGGAAATCTAAAAATAAATGTTAGTACTAGTATTAATAAGTAAATAACCAAAGAACTGAACTAAAGTAAGTAGATTAAAAAAAATATGAATTGAAACTCACATTTCAACCTTATCCCCTCATAATTGCCTTTAATATACTTGCAGGCGAGAAACCACACAAATGCCCAGAGTGCGGGAAATGCTTTACGGCCAGTTCAAACCTTTATTATCATCGAATGACCCACACAAAAGTAAGTGCGCCCAGTTATTAACGGACATTTCTATTTGCATAGGTTATCAGTATCATAGATAAGGTTCGATAGTGACAAAATATCGAGATTATGCAATCTTAAGGGTATCCTTATGCTTAAGTAACTTCACCAGTTACATCAAAATGCTTTTATGTTCAATCTTAAATGCCGAAAAGAGCACTAAAATTAAAAATTTAATTTTACCAGAATGACAAAGTCCGAAACCTACAGAATTTTAAAATTAATCTTTAGGGACAACTAAATTTCTCTAAGTTGAACAAAAAAAAAACAGAATACAGTTGTAAATGTCTTTTTGTAATATAGACTCAATAAAATTTTGTAATATAGACTATAGTATATTAAAGTACTATGCTGTAATGTAACGTTTCAATTATTTGAAAACTTTCCGTCATATCTGATGTTTTATCTGTCTGTCGTGTGTGACCTCTAACGATTCTACAAATTAAAAGCTATGATCCGTATTTCTAATTTATGAATTATATATACGAACAGGTTTCCTAAAATATAAATTGTATTGGTTATTATGGTCTATTTATTTTAATAAAGATTTCATTGCTTGGTAACAAGACCTATTATCGTATATAATTTGTACCACAGAGGCATACAATAGTGACTACATTTTTCAAAATTATTTTTCTCACACCATTAAAATCGCAAGAACCAAGTTCTACGACAAAGATTAAGTCCTACGACGCCTAATTAATAAAATGTCCAATCTTATATGACATCAATCAATAATGCATTCAAGGGTTCACTCACGCATTTTTGCCTCTCCCGCAAAATTTGTTTGTCACAAATTCTGTTTACCTCTGAGATACAGAATTATAATTTGCTGCGTTCATCACTTTAATAACGGCCGTATTTGTTCGGTTGCAGAACAAGCCGCACAAATGCAGCATGTGTCCCCGTTCGTTCCCCACGCCGGGCGAGCTGCGCAGCCACGTGGCGGCGCGCGCCAAGAGCGGCCGAAAGGGCGGGAAAGAGGGCGCCCAATATGGCGGACATGGCGGGGCAAATGGCGGACAAGATGGCGGTCAAGATGGCCGCCGAAGTGCAGTGCGCTCGCTCATCGGGAGCGCGTGGCCATTTAGTGCGATGACTCCGTTCGCAAGCTACCAATTAACTACTGGCCACTGGACATAAGTCGTTCATTTTAACACTAATCATTTAATCATAACTAGCTAGAAACGACAAAGTGCTTTTGTTCAAATTTCCGATTAAATTTGAACAAAAAATTGAAAGAAAAAAATTTAATCAAGTTAACGCAAATGATTTGCCCGATCTCAAATCTCATGACGAACTTTTGTTAATGTAAGCATGAGTGTTACATGAATAAACCGGTGTTATTAATTGTCTGTCATATATAGATAAATATGAATGAAACACCAATGGAAACGTTTTTATTGATATTTATTTCCCATCCTCAGCATTGTCGACCTCTTGCTTCGGCTTTTTAACACCTTCCTCTGCTTCGTCTTCCATCTTTCTCTTTTCGGCTCTGTCTCCATTCGGCTCGCTTGCAACGCCCTGCTTCATCTCTACGTCATCACGAGTCTCTTCAGCACCACCTTGTATGCTCAAAGCCTCTCGCATCGAGGTCTCCTCTTGTGCCCCATCCGCAGCACTTTCCTCCTCTTCTGCCTTCGGCGCCTTCAGCTCCTCGGACGGCTTCACCAGCGCCGTGGCAGCGGCGTGTGGCCGCTTGTGGTAGTCGTTCTGCAACGCCTGGCTGTCGTTGGCCGTGTCCACCTTCATCAGCTCCCTCAATGCCATCGTGGCGTACGAGCTGGCCGGCAACGTCATCGTCAGCAACAGCGCCTTGTACGGACCGTCTGAAGGAATGTTTTTTCTTTAAACGATTGAATATTTTATGCGGCGGTAGGGGCACGCAACAGTGTTCGCTGTTGCACGAATGGGCAGGTCCGTCCGGGTTAGTACCGCGACCTCACAGAAGACCGGCGTGAAGTAGAAGTGTTGCACTTCTGCGTTTCGTCTGGTGAGCGAGATAGCCGGGGCTCACAATATTAAGAGGTGGCAACGCCTATGCAACCCTACGGGTGTTGCAAATGTCCATGGGCAGGCAGTTATCACTTGTAATCAGGTGTATCACCAGCTCGTTTGCCATTTCCTCACATCAAAAAAAAAATTGAAATAAAATTTAATAAACACTATGCAACTGTGAGAACATTTCGAATGAGATGTCTAGTATGAATATTTATTTTCTTGCATGAAATATTTAAGTCTGAAATAAATGTAATGTAATGGTGGAAAAAATTAAATTTATTGTAAAATATTATTATTAAAATAATATTCAAAAAGACGGTCGTATAGTAAATATTTTAATTATGGCATTGGATTGGTGATATCTATTTCGTTAAGTCTGTTGTTATTACAAGGAAGGGCTCGCTTGGAGAAATACAGAGGCCTGATAGAAGACTATAGTGATGTACAAGAGCTGTACTTTTGAGTTTTGTCTGGTGAGTGAGGCAATCGGAGTCTAATTCTTTAAATGAAGTCTGGCGCCTAAAAGAAGTTCACATGTACATTGGGGGGTAGTATTCACTTAACGTTTTGTGTACTGTCCGCTCGAACACAAACTTCTCATGTGAAAAAAATTGTAGGGATTGCGAAGTGGAGTAATTGGACATACTTATAGAGTACGTAGATATAGAGTTACATACTTATAGAGTTTGTAGAAAAATGTACGGAAAGTTTGTGGGTTGTTATAAAAAAAAGAAAAATTGTGTATGAAGTTAATGTTTGTCCATGAATGAGAAGTGAATGCGAGAACCTAATACGGGATGGCTCAGTATTATGGCGGATGCTAATGTTGGGTAAAGGACTCTAGTGGGTTGAAATGATGATGATGATGATGAAGACGAGAGTTCCTTGAAAGTCGCGGGCGAGGCACCTGGCAAAGAGCTGAAAAGATGATGATGGAGAGAATTTCTCGTGGGGGGCTAACGAAATGATGATGGTGGGGAGAGTTCCTTCTGTAGGGCGTGTGAGGCGATGATGATTTCCTGTTTTCGTGTTGCTACCTTAACTTTTCTGTACCACCCCCAAGGTTGACTAGAGATAATGCTGATGGCATTAAGTCCGCTTTTGTACATAAATGTTTGTGCAGAAAGTTTACATAAGTAAATAAACGATTTTATCATAGTATCCCATCACATGATGTGTAACATATAAGGTTTAATTGTTTTCACGGAACTGTTAGCTTTATATAGTAATTTTTTTTTATTTGGACCACTCTATAATTCTCGTCCACACCGTCGCATTCGCCGTGTAATGAATGAATGAAGGACGGTGGGGGAGGCACCTGGCTGGCCGGGGGCGGCGGCGGGGGCGCCCCGCAGCCGCTGCAGGTCGGAGAGCAGCAGGTCGGCCGTGGGCTCGGAGTAGCGGCTCGTCTGCCAGCGCAGGGCTCCGGGCCGCACGGCCAGCGACCGGTACGCGCCGCACAGGCTGAACGACCTGCGCCCAGGGCTCGTTATTGTATGCGTATATCCATTAGGGGCATGGAAAACAGACTGCGGCCGATTCTCATACCTACCGAATATATACAGCGTGTCGTTACCAACGCGACAATAAATGAACACACATAGAGGATAACTTTTTAAAATTATATTAAACGTTTACATTCTTTAAACATAAATTTTAACCGAGTTATTAAATTTTCCAAAACGAACAATTTTAGAACACCCTTACGTATAAAACTGTAACGTAAAGTTCATTTGTAAAGGTCACAAAGCATATGAATGGGTTGAATGAATTGAAAAGAGACAAAACATACTGTTAGAAGGAGAGGCTTGTAATGCGACGCTGTGGCGCGATTTGTATAGGATGTTACAAATTTTGTTTCTTTTTTATGTTTCTTAATTAGTTTGTTTGTAAAATATATTTTTTTAATTATGGATTTTGTTTAACGTTAATATTTTATTCTGATTATTGGCAAGTAGCGTTAGGCGTGTGTTTTTTTTTATTGTCGCGATGGTAACGCCACGCTGTACATCTGGTAGGTGTGAGAATCCTAGTCTTTACTTGACTTAATTGTGTGCATCATAACTGTATGGGGCATGAACTGTGTATCGACAATTTATTTGTATCAAAACAAATAAATTTGTATCAAATTTACAGTGGTAGGGCCACGCAGCTGTTTCGGGATGTTGCACGAATAGGCAGGCCCATCCGGGTAAGTAGCACGACCTCACAGAAGACCAGCGTAAAGTAGAAGTATGACAAATACTTTCGCGTTTCGTCTGGTGAGTGAGGTGGCGGGAGTCCAATTTTCAAAAGGTAGTCAACGCATCTTTAACCCTCGGGTGTGCCAGATATCGATGGGCAGCGGTATTCACTTAACATCAGGTTAACCGTCTGCTCGTTTGAAAACTTTTCACAAAAAAAATCGATTAAAACCATCAACAAATTGAAATAGTTCATAAATCTTTTAATATTTATATATTATAATTATCAAACTATATTAGAATGTAGATGTATCAAGATTTATTTTTTTATTGTGTTATGTTTTTTGGTATTATTAAAAAGTGAATTAAATTAGAAAATAAACCATTACACGGGACTATAAAATATGCAGTATCCATATATCACTTTATAGGAAGGAGATGTTTACAAAAACCACTCACTTGTTCTTGTGCCTCATTTCCAGCTTGAGATTGTCCTTCTCGAGCAGTTCCTTGTAGTAGTCCACCATGTTGGGCGGGTACTCGATATTGTACCCTGGCACTGGCAACACAACGTCGAAAATGGTGTAATTGCCGCTGGCAACATCCTCTTCGGTGAGCACCTTCATCGGAACCTTGGGCTTGGGCTCGTTTTTCGTCTGCACCTTCTTTTCTGGGTTCTCAGCCGTTACTTCTTTCACTTCTTTATCTTTGTCAGCATCAGCAATTGGTGTCTCGATATCGTTGTCTTCTGTGATGCTTTCATCTTCCTCCTTGATCTCATCCTCTGACTCCTGTTCGTTTTCATATTCTGAAACCCGTTGTCAGTTTTATATAGTTAAAATATACAGATATTTGATTTGATGTAATATATCAAACGACTTGCGACACAGTGAAATATTTTCTATAAAAGAGAATAACAATTTGAGAGCAAATTGTTTCAGTTATATTATTTCTTTTGTTTTGTTCACTTATTCGGATATATAAATCAAAGTTTAGGTACATATATGTTGTGTATATCGGAAACGAATAATGATTTAGTATTTATTTCTTGTATTTAACTAAGGTTTTGCTTTTATAGCTATTGTCAATATAATAACTTTGAATGTTGTTTCACCTGTAACTGAGATACCAATGATAGATACCATGTACCTCAGTTATTTATGTATTTGTAAGCATGTTTCAATATGTGTTTTGTTGGTGAAGTAAATAAATAAATATATAAATGGATATGTTTATATACAACGTGTTTTTATTGAATCTCTGTTACTTTTAATTATTAAAGAGACTGTATATTGGAACCCACATAATTTGATACTTAGTAAAGAGAAATTTAAAGTGATGGTCAATAAATCTCAAAATGCTGGGTAAATGCCTGCTCTGTATAAGGGCCTTTAAGGCATAGTCCACCACGCGGCCTCACTGTGGATAATTCACATATATTTTTGCCATTATTTCCGATCCAAATTTCCTCACGATGTTTTCCTTTACCAATGTGACGTGATAAACATAGTCGGTTTATCAATTTTGTGTGGCGTGTTCCTAAGGGGGTTTTGCGTAGGTGAGCATCGGGGGTCGTCGGTTCGATTGCCGCACGTGGCGAGTTATGTGTGATGAGAGGGGCTCGGTTGGAGCTTTTTTTTTTTGTTTTTTGTAAAAAGTTGCCAAGCGACCGCCGTCCATGTACACCTGCAACACACGAGGGCCTTTTAGGGAAGGGTATGCTCTCTTCTTGAAGGTTCCCAGGTCTTACGGTCCGGGAAGACCGCCGGCGGCAGCTGGTTCCACAGAGTGGTCCAGGCTTATTCCGGAGGTGGACGAAGGAAACCCACCGCGGGCGTCTGGTTGCCACAGGGGAGTGGCACGGGCCCACACTTGTTCCCGGGGAGGTCTTAGGGAGGGGCGAAGGTACCCACCGCGGGCGTCCGGGTGCAGCGGCACCAGGTCCCCCTTGGCCGGCGCCAGGCCGAGGCGGCGCAGGCGCTCCGAGGCGCAGCGGTTCCACACCAGCGACTGGTACGCGTGCAGGTACAGCACGCGCTGGTTGCGCGCCAGCTGCAACGAGACCACCACACCGTCAGCTGCCACTCCGCTATATTGGCACTCGCCTAGGCTACAATGGCACTGTTACGACGTACCGGACGTTGTATTGGCAGCCGATGTTTTTGAAAAGAAAAAGCAACTGTTTAGTTTCTTGCCGGTCCCTTCTCAAGGGAAACTGCTTTCCGAACCGATGTTACCTTATAGATGAAATGTTACCTTATGTAACCTTACGAATGTAAATATTACCTTACGAACTTCGTAAGGTGACATCGGTTTATATATAATTTTTTATGTAAAATTTGACGATCCATAAGAACGCGCAAACGTCTATTTGATTAATATTAACGTTACACATCTCTGGAACGACGGCAACACATCTGCAACCCTACGGGTGCTGCAAACGTCCATGGGCGGCGCGTATCACTTAATATCGTGTGCCAGCTCGGTTGCCACCTTCTCACATAAAAATAACTGCACCGGACAAATGTTTGTCCAGCGCACGCAGTCAAGCCCGTCGCGACGTACGCGACAAGCCTGTCGCGATGTGCGCGACAAGCCCGTCGCGATGTGCGCGACAAGCTCGCCGCGGCGTGGCCAACAGGCCGACCTGGTCGAGCGCGCCGAGCATGTCGCGCGGGTTGGCGTCGAGCGCGCGCAGCAGCCTGGCGCCGCCCGCGCCCCTCGCGCCCCCCATCCGCACCATCTCCTCGTCCGCCACGATGTGCTTGATGGCCTGCAATGACCACAATAAATGTTTACGACACATTGCAGCAACGCTTGTGCTATGGTACTACATACACATAAACATAAACATACTTTTCGGCAAATAAATACATAAATAAAAACATCCGGACATTAGAAAAACACCATGTTCATCACATAATATTTTTCCCATAGTGGGGATCGAACACACCCTCTTGCGCAGGAGGCAGGTACACTACCCATTACGCCATTCGGGTCAATTCGGCTAAATTTGGTCCGCAATGTCACATCGATCTCTACGAATTGTTTGCCAAAGGTGTCTTAATCTCGGAATACATTAACTACCGAAATTCGTCATCAAATGTAATAATTCAAAGACCACATATTCCGCGAAAAATAAAAAATAGATGAACATATGGAAACAAATTTTCTTTTGGTCGTCGTTTTTTTCTGAACATAATTTTAAAAACAATACATATATAGATAGCATTTTGAGAGATGGGTTCTCAAGGAGTAGTTTTCTTTACAAACTACTAGTTTTATTAATTACGGTTTTACAGAAATTAAGACTATTATCCAATACTTGATAATGAATGATTAGGCATAGTTTTATCTCACATTTAAACGACTGATATTGTGATATTGTTATTGACTCTCCCACCACTTCTGAAGTGGAGCCTGGGACCAGCAGCGGCAGAACAAGCACGGTCCTTGAACCACAACTAGCTACACCAAGTTAAGAGCAATTCAGTGCCCGCTCATTTAGCTTGAGCCGAGACGCACCTGGCGTTATAAGACCTACAGGAGCTGAACAAGCGTGGTGCTTGAACAGCAAGTGAAGAGCAAGCTAGTGGCCGCTCATCTAGCACGAGCCGGGACGCACCTGGCGGTAGTCCGCCTGCAGCAGCAGCCGGCCCACCTCGTAGGTGGGCGCGTTGGGCCTGGAGCCGAAGCGCTGCAGCCCGTAGTAGTTGATGAAGCCGTGGCGCTGCAGCCGCGAGCAGGCCTCCGCCACCACGTCGTCGGGGGCGGTCACGTTGCGCAGCGCTATGCGGAACCTGTAAAGTGACACACAATCGCCACTTGAAATTAGCAATCTCACTGTTGCCAGCACCGAGGATCAAACTCAAGTTGCTCGAGTATTTTAAATTAAAGGCGAGCGCCCGGACACTGAACCATCACAGCTTTTAAACGGAACCTGTAAACAATTCAAATCATCTATTCATCAAGAGAGAGAAATACATTCATTATCTATCGATCATTTATCAGTCATTTTTTGAATCAACCAAACGAATGACATTCCTCTAACGGAGAAGAAACAGGCGAAAGAAACTCCGTAGGTATCCTTGTTTGTCATTTTATTTCCACAAAACATTACATTATAATATTAAACATTTTTTATTTTTTTTATAAATAACGTGGGAACAATCATCTCTTTCAAATGAACCCCTGGATTATTATAATTAATGTATAAATTTATTTCTATTAATTTATATTAACCCATTTTATAAACAAAAATGAAAATAAGACAATCTCACTTATTAAAGTGACAAAAAAACAGCTAGTGACATAACTATATTTCCGCTTAACTAAATTCACATTAATTATGCCTAAATAAAAAATAATTATGTAAAAGGAGCCTCACCTGTTCCCTCGCAACATGCCAAGTTTCAAACTAATCGGACTGAAACTAAAATTGCCCACATGCACGTCCCGAATATCCTTAGCTGCAGCCGCTATCTTCCGGGGATCTACTTTCCGGAGACTGAACCACTGTGAGGTCTTCGCTCTCCGATCTTTCGTGCCGGCATAACCGAGCATTGATGGTTTGATACTGAGGAAAATATTATAAATTTCACATTGTACTACTTTTACTAAAAGATACTCAACAGACTTAGACTAAATAAGAAGTTTTTTTTTTTTACATTGTATTTTATTGGAAATGACTGTATTATTATTTTTGTACTGTTTTGTTTAATTTTATCACTGATGGAGGATCATGCTGCAGTTCTTGATTTTATGCATACTAGAAGTATGCACATTGACTGGTGAAAGTTGGTTTTTAAAGTTGGCAATGCATCTGCATCTCACAGGTGTCACTTCATCACTTTAATTGCCTGGTTGCTTACCACGAATTCCGAAAAAAAATAATGACTTCCTGCGTAAATTACTCATTTATGTAATGAGTAATTTTATCAACATTGGCCTGAGTTACGAAAGAACAATTGGATCATTATGAAAAAGTTTTACTCACTTCAACCTTAACTTTTCTGCAAGTCTAGCAGCCGCCTCCATTGTGTCACAATTTTCCTTGTGGACAATAAAGTATACATATTCCGCAGGCCACACCCATTTAACTCTATTGTCTCTACGCACTGTAATTTCAATTAAAAATAATTCATTACTAGTCAAATGCTGCTTAATTAATATCTATATTTTAGAGTAAATTAAATAACTTCTATCAAAGGGGCCAATATTGCTATCCATCTTCAATATGTCACCAATAAATATAAGAATGGTAATTAAATGAATTTAATCAAATATACCTCCTTTCCTATATTTCTCAAACCTAACAATCTTCTTATCATCAACAGCAACAGTACTGCCTACTATGCTTGTTCCGAATGCTTTCTTCACAGCATCATGAATCTTAGTCCTTTGTTCTTTTGTCATGCCTGTGACATCAACCTACAAAAATGACAATTATTTATTAGTACCCATTATGTTTTGAAAAGCCAAATTTAGCACGGTAAGACGTAAATTTTGATGCGTAAATGCAATGTAATTTTTTAGATTAATTCTCACACACTACTATACAACACAATCAATGATAAACAGATTTTAAACTCTTAGTCTTTAGAACACAACTTAAAATCCTATAGGTATACTACTGGAAATTCTATATATATGTTCCATATTATGTGAGTCATGTCAACAAATTCGCCATATTAATTATTACTAAAATAATCATCTCATGATAAAGCAAAATACACCTAATTAATTTTTTATAATTCAAATCAAGTGGTGTTTTTTACATTTTTAATATAGACCCGGCAATTGTCTCTGATGTAAACATTTGTCTATCAACAAAATAGAAAAATAGAAAAATGTAACCCCTTATGATCACTCATGTACTCTGTCACACCAATGTCCTCTTCAGATAGCCTCTTACCTGGACTGTCTCTATATGGCTTATTCTGCCAGTGTCCTTGGTGAGGTCTGCCTCTGAAATTGTTTCGATTACCGCCACGAAAGCCACCTCTTTGATTTACATACGGCATTTGTTGATCACAATAGTGAGGTCTGGGCCAAGAACCCCTATTTCCTCCCCTACCGCGACCTCCTCTCCATGGTTCACCCCAATTCGTTCGTCCTCTATTATTAAGATTCCAGTTGTTATTCATTTTTCCAGTAACACTTAAATAACCTCAAACAAACCGGTGAAGGAAGACAATTCTAATAAATTCAACAATCAAAGTACACGACATATAATTTGGCTATAATAATAAACTGTCTTGAATGGTTTATGAAACAATCAGTTAAATTAGAAAAACACAAACGCTTAAACACAATGTGCTGAAAACATTACTACGCGAATGAAAGCAGAGCAAACAAGAATCAAGATTGACAAAACAAATATCAATTACCAATGTGACGTTTCATCACAGATACTTTCGTCTTTCATTGACAGATGTTTAAGCTTGTAGTCCATAGACTATAAAAGCCTCATCGAATGCAAAACTCGTGAGCTAACGCATAAAAAAAACTCACGGGTTTGGAATAGCTCTCCGCGTTGGGCTCTTAATAGCTTCATCATCGTAGTTGTAAGCGGTCAAGCGAAGGTCAGTTCTGCAAAGATGGAGGCCGCAGCCATGCGAAATCCTCACTCAGGGACCTAGACGTCCCAGTCCCAATTGCCAGCAGTGGCCCATCACTTGGAAATCTGCACCTCTACCACTTCCCCCACTCTTTAAGCTACCACACCAACCCTACCTGTAATAATACAGGACAGAGCAGTGTGAAGGTATCTAAGAAGACCTACTCGACCACGTGAGTACCAAGTACTTCAGGGCCAGGCCTGTTCTGATTGGTATCCAAGTATCTACCCCAATGGGAATGACCACCGCACTCTTACCAACACTAACGCTCATGGAACGACAAGTGTCATTCCACACCTCCAGAAGGCGTGCGCCGGGAAGAAACGCATCCCGAAGGTACTCTACAGTTTATCGACGAGAAAAAAAGGCCGGAAACGTAAATGTGATTCCTTCGATGTTATGTCCATAGACAGTGGTGATCGCTTGCCATCAAGTGATTCACATGCTATCTGTGCTATCTTATCCTCTCCTAATACCTTCTGGGTGACCGATGGTGCAAGGAAATCTCATCATTCATCTGCGATTTTAAAATTCAACCGCAACAGGAAAACGCCCCAGTCGCTTTATGTTATCGTCTTAAACGCCAATTCACTCAATAATAATAATATAAAGTTATAGAATCCCTTACATTATGCTAGTCCAAAAATGTGCCAAAAACTTATTTCACAAATCAATTTTAAATATCTATGAATCTGATATCTCTAGTTTTGCCGCCCAGCTTTTTTGGAATCACAAATAATTTGTTTATAAATAGTAATATTCTGTAATTCTTTAAGACCATGGTAATTAACCTTTGTTTATGGCAATTTCATGTTCATTCCAAAATAATTTACTTAAAATTTATTGCAATTTCAGATCTGTAAATGAATAATATAAATTTTGTTATGTGAAAAATATTTATTTAACAAATGAAAACAACTCAAATCATGGATGGTCATTTTAGCAGTCAAAATAAAATATTAAAGAATAAAGCACTTTCAAAGAACATAATTAATAAACTTTTAGCAAAACATTTTATTTAGTGTATTTATAATTTAGAGAATTCAAAAGTGTAATGGAATTATAAGGCCAAGCTCCAAAATGTTAAGTATATTTAATGAACTTGTATAATTCATAATCAAAATCCAAAATAAAACTAAAAACCAAAACCTTAATATATGGATATGGGTATTCAAGTCATAATTTTCTCTTAACATTTGTGAATAACAACTTTAAAATATATCCTCAAATTTAAAAGGTACTATTGAAAATTATATGAATACATTTTAAATCCTAGGGAACTTACAACAAATTTAATAAATTCTCCAAACTCAATACTCCTGTGATGATACAACACTTGTGTGCGATTTATTTGTTTTTGTGGCAGTTTTCTTTGGCAGCAACTCTTGATGGATTCTAGGCATGACACCTCCTTGTGATATTGTTACGCCTTCCAGCATCTTATTAAGCTCATCATCATTTTTCACCGCCAACAAAATATGTCGTGGAGAAATCCTTAAATAAGGGACAACAAAATATAAACTAAAGATGACAATAAACATAATAACTTTAATAAATCAATGAAGGGTAAAATTTTTGCAGGCTGCTATGTCAATATAGCAAAAATAAAATGAGATGATAGAGAAAAATAAGTAATGTATTAATGGAATATAAGAAATATTATTTCATTATTAAATAACAGGTTGAAGACGGAGGAGTCGGGGGCCTCAGCCACTAGGCCATCATTACCGTAAATTATAAATAGAAAAAAGTCAGAGATTTTACCTGTTCTTGCCATTGTCAGTGGCTGCTTTACCTGCCAATTCTAATATTTCAGCAGCCAAATACTCCAGTGCTGCCGACAAGTAGACAGCTGAGCCACATCCAATGCGATTAGCATAATTGCCTTTACGAAGAATCCTGTGAATTCTCCCGACCGGGAATTTAAGTCCAGCGCGGTCACTTCGTGACTTGGACTTAGCGCGTTTCTTGAGACCTTTAATAAGCAACTATTGGTTAGTAAACAAATATTTTTTTCGGAATATAAGCACGTCAGAAGGAAACGCACTTTCAGCTCCACGACCTGACATTTCGTTTTTTATATAATGAATTAATGACGCAATTCGTCTTTAAGTTAGATGAAATGAAGTCTGGCTCTGTTATTATCAAACGTATCGTCAACAACAAACAAAATTCGAAATGCAAGATATAGATGACAACTAAAAGCGCGGGAAAGTCAGCAGCATTGAACAGTGTTGCTGTTAACGAGCAGTCGCACTATCTATGGTATGATCTGCGTTATCAATATTGTTTTTCTCAATTGTAAACAGTTTGGTCTCACGAGTCTATGAATATGTATCAAACATGTTGAATATCAAACCACAAGAAGCCATCCGTTCCGGGTCATCTATGCGAGCCCTATTCACGAAACAAAGACTATTTTACACATAGACACGGATGAAGACAATGATGTGTGGAAATGACTCTTGCTCTGCACTTACAGGTCCCCTGGCTCCTACTAATTTTAAACTTAAATACTTTTGTGTATATTAATCCGCCTATTAAATTAGACTGGCAGCATTGGCTGATTCGCAGTGTTATCAACTAATTTAAACAAAAGGTCCTAAAATGAAGATCAAAAAAAATAGCCTTAAAAAATGCAATATTCAAAAGCCCCATAAAATCACTGTATTGCATTCAAAAATATTGTTTAAATGAGTTTTACATTTGGTTAATACATAGAATTTAGTTTTAATTACTTTTCATTAAAATAGTTGAATTAATTAACAAAACAACATATTAACAAACATTTAATTAATTACATTGGTTAATACACATTTCGCTTTATTTACTCATTTTTGTCAAACAAAATAGTGATCATGAAATATATTCATGCCCCCAAACTTTGTTGGACCCCCAAAAACAGCCCAATATGCATATTAGTTCTTTACCTATGAAATTGCCGTTTTGTATGAATTAAGTTAAGACTATATGCTATAAACTGTTCAAAGTCGTTTTGTACTGTCTCTCGGGAAGTGAATTTTTTTTCCGGTAAAAATTTGTCCAAATTTTGGAAAAAGCAATAGTCTGTAAGCGTAAGGTTTGGTGAGTATAGCGGATGAGGGAGAGCTTCCAACCCCAACTTTTGCAGCTTGGAGACTGTCTGTTGCGCAATATGGGGTCGCGCATTGTCATGACGCATGGGACAGCGGGTACGACCGATCGACTAAAGCAGGTTTCAGACGTGCGAGCTTCTCCATCATTGTCTTCAGTTCTTCACAGTAAACATTTGCAGTAATGCTCATCTCGTTTTGTAAAAAGCTGTGATGAATCACACCGGCACGAGACCGCCAAAAAGTGACCATCATTTTCCAGAGACCATTTTTCGTTTACGCCATTGCTTTGGCGCTGAACCAGGATCTAACCAATTTGCTGAGCACTTTTGATTTTCGAACAGAATCCATTTTTCATCGCACCCAACAATTCGGTTCAAAATTACTTTATTTCTGTGCCTGTTGAGCTGCGCGAGGCAGGTCTCGACGCGTACGTTGCACTGACGATCGTAAAGTTCGTGGAGCAGACATCTATCAATGGCCAGTACTGAATAAAGGCAATTTCATTGTTAAACAACTATTATTTCACGCTAAACTTTGGGCTAAAAGCGTTAAGTTGGCAAGCCAGCTCGTTCATTAGAAGAGGTCTTTGATTTCGACTTCAGAGAGGAGACAAATCGGCAATACCTGTTTTTGTCATTATCTGTTATATACTTTTATTATCTACTATATATTTTTGTGTTATCCAATTTTTTAATTGTTACACCCTTATATTGATGATGATTACACCATTTTAAATAATAATCCATTGTTTCACTAATTTCAAGCAGAGGTTGTGTTATCATGACCAGTTGTGACAATAAAACAACAGAAACCAGTCTTGTAAATGACATGTAATTTTAAATACTGTAAACAAGAGATCCATTATTGATTTTCTTTATAATAGTGATTAATGTATGAAATATTACACTTTCTAATTTTTAAACTAACAGTTAATATAAAAGATTCGGTCTAACATCAACTTTATGGATAACAAGATTTGAAAAGGAAACATGGCCAATGTCACTTGTACAAACTAGATCTATCTAAACAGGCTAAAATCTCATATAAATTAAAGTACCAATAACTTTAAATGGCAAAGGAACATTACAGACAGCATAATAAGCTATTTTGTAGCATATACAAAACTCTATATTCTAAAACTTAAAAATTACAAATACTTTTTTTCTTTATAAACATGCTATGAGATTAAAAAAAATATTAAAAGCATACAATTAAAAAAATATACAGAATCATTTAAAATATAAATGCGTTACAAATGGAATCATTATACTACAATTCTATAACAAATGTGTTGTAAATAACATAAAAACTTTATTAACATAAGGAATTATTGTATTCATAATTGTACCAGCAGCTTTTGTTGCCTACCACTTGTGTTAATAATATATAAAGTCATCTATTAATAAATCTCTTTAAATGTTGCACTAGGAAAAGTAACTATAAGAACCAAGATTGCACAAATAATTGAGTAACTTAAGAATATACATAATCAAATGGCTTATTCACACCCAAGTTTATAAAATTCCCCTCATATTATCACTTTGCAAGGAATAAGATAATAGGTTCCAAAGGGTGAAAATTATTGTTACAGTAAAATGTAACAAAGTGCAATGTGAATAAGGTTTCAGTATCTTATGGCAGTGTTCACATTCGCTGAGGTGACCCAGAGGTTGAACCAAATTTTTACAAATACGTTATTATTAATAAATAAATGGTCATAGCTCAATTACATAATGACTGCATTCTTAGACTGGCTTCTTTCGTATATTAAATGTTTTAGTAAATGATAAATTATTTATAAATGTCATTCATTAGTAAAGGGAACGTTTCCAGTCTGATCCTTTCGGGCTTCAAAGAGATGGGATATCCAATATAATTATATTGTAAATACTTCAAAATTGTTCAACATGTATCAAAATAAAACAATCATCTACTATTGCCCGTGCCCCTGCCACATTTAAGCGAAATTTTTTTTAGTTATATTATGCTGACAAAATAATATCAAATAAACAAAATCTTTCTATCTAAGTTTAAATACCAACAGTATTGTGATTGTTCAAAATAGCACCCTTTGACAATATCATACAATATTAATGTTTCACATTTTGCTCTTTTGAATGCAGCCATTTTGTTACATAATTAAGCATCATAAACATTAAACATACTTTTATTTAGAATTTCTTATGAGCAATGAACATTTTTATTTGAAATTTAATATTTAAGATTGGCAACAATTAAAAATATATAGCAATGTACAAAAGTTACCAATACTACAATTATCAACAAATGCAAAAGGGAGTTCATTTGGCCAAATGGCATAAACCCCCTGTAAAAACACTAGGAAAAAATACACAACCGTATATAATACATTCATTCGCACTACATGCCCGTTTGTATATCATCTCATATTGCATTATAATATTATATTTGTCCATTCCTCAAATTCAACAGTGTAAAATATCGAGAATTACATCCTACACATTTATTTCACAAAGTTAGAATAAAAAAGTTGAATTGGTCATAATGTTATTCATTATATTAGTCTATAAATGTTAAGGTAAAATTATATTCGTCACTGATATACAGCGTCGTTAAAACTATTGGGATCGATTTAAAAATTATACCATCCAAAGAAAGATTTTGACTAGTCATAACATTGTTCACACTTCAATATATAATACATTTCTTGTTCTATTATAACGTAAGCAAATACATACCCATACAACATCGGACATACAAAATTCGTAATAGCTTTTTAAAATTATGAGCTAAATGAGCTGAGAGCACTTGTCTTATTATCACATATTTTATTATCAGTCGAATGCAAAACTAGTTTTTGCATTGGGTCTATTATTATTTTAGAATTGTCTTCGTCCAACCCCCGCTTTTTACTTAAACCTTCGCCCGCCGCACTGACTTCTCTGACCGATTCTATTTCGTCGTTCGCGGTTTTATTGTCAAACACCGGGAAGAAGTCGTAATGGGATTTACCGTTGGGCACATGTTTGCTTGTTTTGTCTGTTTTTGTACATTTTTGTTTTTTCAAGTCCTCCATATTCTTCATATTTGTAACATTACGTTTTGAGTGGTCATTCCAACCTTCACTTTTGCCATGGACTGGATTCCAATCTTTTCTGAACGAACTCGACGGTTTTGCAGGTTCGTTGGAAGCGAATTTCTGCTGTATCTCATTGATTTGATTGTGATTCTCCCTACTTGACACTATTTGGCCATAAACAGGAGTACAATATGTGGTATCAGAGTCTGTATTGCTGCACCTATTGTCCTTGTTGGATTGGTTTTGATTGATTTGATAATTGTTCATTCCTGAGTCAAACTCTGACTTTTGTCCTGCATTAAGCAATATTTGCTTAGATGATTTAATAGTATTCTTCTTTTCATTGTTTTGGTGATTTCTATTTGGGGATCCATTGTCATACTGTCTATTACTTCTGGGGTTAGACCTATCATCTTCATTTATGTCTTCATTGCCAATGCCATCAATATCATAAACCTGAAAAATGATAAAAAAAATCATACAAACAATCCCTCAAACATATGTGAAATGCAATGATAAAATCTCTCTTAGGAAGAAAATGTTTTATTTTTAGGGTTCTGTACCCAAAGGGCAAAATGAGACTCTATTACTAAGTCTCCGCTATCTGTCTGTCTGTCCATCTGTCACCAGACTGTATCTCATGAACCATTATAGTTAGACATTTGAAGTTTTCAAAGATGATGTAGTTCTGCCACCTTTATTATAGCAAATATTAAAAAAGGTGTATAAATAAATATTTAAGTGGGGCTCACATACAACACACATGATTTTTTTACCCTTCATGAATGAGATTGACTTGCACTTGGCCGATTTTTTTACGCAAAGTATAAGTTCTGAATTTTAGTTTGATATGGATATCTAAACTTTACACTTTAACACACTTTTATATTATATAATAGCCAAAGAATTCTCTTTGTCGAGCGAGTAAAAACAATAAAATGTTTTGGTTTGTAAGTAGCCGTATAAATCTTGGCTGTAATTCACCCATCAACCGCATGTTGTCCAGTTATAACACAATTGAATGCAGGAACCAATCGATTGACATATTCCATAATTCTAATTCAGAACTTAAAAAACTACTTAGACAGTTATGAATCGTCCGAGTAATATTTTTATATGTTTATGTTACCTTTTTATATTAGTTATTATATTTTATAGTTTCTATATTAGTTTCTTGTACAGCACGTATCTATTTATTATTCGTGAAAGATGTGTATACCTGTTATTGATGTGTTCATATGTTAATTTAATTATGTGTACTTCTAACCTTTTATTGTACCTTGAACATGTTTTTGGTGTACCTTTTATAAATAAATAAAATAAAATAAATAAATAAGAACATGCTAGATCTATATCAGAAACCTGTGTATATTTTCCTTTTTAAAAACCCCTTAACTGAAATCATGAAAATTTACTTTATCATAATGAGTGAATCTTGTATATGTTATAATTTATAAGATGTTATGGCCAGCCTAAAGCTGTAGTTTTATCTGAACATACCTTGTACATAACATCTTGGTTCATTCCTTTCTCTCGTTCTCTTTTATTCTGTACTGCAAGCCAGACATCTTTCAGTTCTCCAGCTAGGTCTCTATCTTTTAAAATAACTGGGTTTCTTGCTAGCACTAAGCCGGGGTTCATGGCCTCGACAAAGTCACAAAGGAGACTCACTAAAGCTTCCCGATCCTATAAGAAAAATATTGTAGTCAAATAAAGAGTTTGCTTGATCATTGTGATTTAGGTAAGTTTTAATTAACTGAACTGATTAATTATAATAATTTGAAATGGTATAGTATTTGTAGTTTAATTGATATTATTAAAATTGATCATGGCCAGTGATGTAGTCTTTAGTGTTGTGTATGGTTACTGGTAATTAGAAATAGTGAACTAAATTAATATTGTTTAAAAGTATTAAAAGTTACACCATATTATTTACAATGAAGTTTGGAAATATAAGCAATATAATTACTGTAGGATTAGAAGCATTCTTCCCATTAGCCTTTAATATGTCAGGGTTGACCATCACTGCAAACACAAGTAGTGGTGGTCGGGTACTGTTAGGTCCACAGCCTTGATGCACCTGAATAGTAAGAATTGATTGGTGTTGTACAAAAGCACAATTCTAAACATGTAGTAGAAAATAAACACATGAAAATTACTGAATGTATAAATTTATCAATTATATGTTGAGAATAAATAATATTGCCATTGTAAATACATTTTAGTTTGAATAAATTTGAAGAATATTTTAAGGGCGAGGTTGTCTAAGAATTAACTAATTGAAAAAAGTTATGGCACCTGCATTCCGCCATATAATGGTATGGGATCCGAGTTTTGTTTTGGATTTGCAATTTTCTGCCATCCCAAAACATTTATATATAACTTCTCCGAAGTGTCTTTTATAGTATCTTGAATACACATATGAGGTTGTGGTGGATTTTTGAACTGTCGAAATGCACGTGAGCCTCGTACATATTGTATGGGTGACGTTCTTTCTTGAGAGTTTTGATTTTCCATGTCAATACCAATGAAAACGATGTAAAAAGCAATTGAATCACAGAAAAAAATCACTATAATGTTCACTAAAAATAATACCGATACGAACAACCAAATGACATTTCTAACTCTATTAGGCCTTCTCGACACAGACCTGACATTCCAAGTTTATTGAACTTTCAACAGCTTACCGAAGCACCAACAAATTACAAAACAAACGGAACGTAAGCGCTCGTTTTGTTTATCTAATACCAGATTTCCTTCCGACATAAATCTGTTAATGAATAGTGTAAAGGAAAGGGTATAAATAAAGTGTTTCCGTTCCAAAACGTTTGTGATGTCAAACAGTGCGATGCGAGCGTTTTAAAGCGGCTTTAAATCCATGTTTAGCATAAAATGCTGTGTAGTGTTGGGGTTTAGCAAGTACACTTTATTTTACAGAACGATTTACAACACTACATTTTATAATAGTGCTAAGTGAATCTTAAATTTTGAGATAAAACTGTTAATTCGAGTCCTTCTATTCGGCCACAATACAGATCTTTCTGCAGGATGTTTGTAGAATATTTTTCGCCCGTTAAACATTCTCAAAGGGTCGTTACTATTCCCATACACCAGCGAAGATCCTCTATTCCCTATATACTAGGATCCCTAAGGTCGAGCTCGTCTTATTAACACCTTATTTTGGTAAATAAATGTATGTTATTTATTTCTTTCTTTCTTAAAATCTGTCAACCTTGCAACTTAACTGCATTTTAAAAGACTTCACTGGCGAACACGCCAGCAGCCCACTGCGGATTGGCGGACTTCACTTCTGCGTCCGATGTAGCTTTAATAGTCTTGGGACTGAAAGCAAAAACATCAGTTAATACGGGCTTCACATATATTGGAAGTATTATTTAGTTATTATTTCGAAAAAAAAAATACAGGTTTCCTCATGATGTTTTTCTTCACAGCTGAGCTAGTGATAAGTCAGCACTTAAAATTAACAATTTCATTGGTACCGGCACCGGGGATCGAACTTGGGTTGCTCGAGTATATTATACGAGTTTTTTTTATGTGAAAAGTTGCCAAGCGAGCAGCGGTGATGTTAAGTGAAGGCCGCCTATGGATGTCAACCTTTTGAAAATTGGGATCCGACTACCTCACTCACCAGACGAAACGTGAAAGTATTATACTTCCACTTTATGCCGGTCTTCTGTGAGGGCGTGGTACTACCCAGACGAGCCTGCCCATTTGTGCAACAGCCAAGGCTGCTGCGTGGCTCTACCACCATAAAACCTAACCTATACCAATATATATACTTACCATTTTATCAAGCAAGCAAAATCTGTTCAAATCATATTGGAAGAGATGTCAATTTTTTACAAGGACTCTTGCCCTGTGAGAACCAGCAAAGCAAGGATGGGAATCTCTTGAAGGCGACCCAAGGACAGGACGGTCCATTGAAGTGACCATTCCGGAACTGGTTGAAAAAGTAGAAATTTTTTTAAAAAACTATTAAAAGAAGCTCGGCTAAAGAAGATACAGATTGCAGACATTGTTGGAGTATCTGATACAACTATTTTTAAAATTCTGCACGTACATCTTGGCGTTATTAGGACAGCGCACGGTGTGTGCCAAGATTGCTTACGCTGCGCAAAAACAACAACATCGAATATGCATAGAATATTCTTAAGCGTTTTTGGACCTCTATGTTAAAAACAAGGATGCTGAACCGAATTGTTACTAGAGATGAAACTTGGGTTCATCGTTATGTACTTGAGTCTGAGCAAGACCCATCCATTGCCATAAAATGGTGCATTCTCTCAAGAAATTTAAGGTGTTACAATCATCCTGAAAACGTATGGCGACAGTTTTTTGGGACTCTGAAGGAATCATGTTTATCGATTATAAGAATAATGGTGTCACTATGACTGGAGAATACCATCCACCAATCCTGGTGCGTTTGAAATAAGCTATTAACGAAAAATAAAGAGAAAATGAAGCAGAGGTGTACTGCTCTTGCATGACAATACGTCCGTCTACAAGTGCCGTGCTGCACTGGCTGCTCTGCTCAAGATGGGCTTTGATACGTTTATAAATTACCTACCCTATAGTCTAGACCTGGTCCTGAGTGATTATTAACTCTTTCCAAAAATGGAAAATGAGCTTCGTTGAAAAAATGTTATGGCGCAGCAGCACAAAAAAAATTTTGGACTTTTGTTTTTCTTCCTTGCCTCCCCCATTCCACGAAAATAAAAACACCCCGCGTATATACGTCCACCTCCCTTATTAAAACATGTTAGTATAACTTTTTCATGCGCACAATATAGAATCCTTTCCTTTTGTGATGAAGTTTGAAAAATACATTAATAAATAAAAAAAAAATTGGGTAGAATCCTTATATCCCACACTTGTACATCAATATCATACTTAGATGGTTACCATGATTATTCAGGCTTCTTAACTTATCATGTGCGATTAATGAATTGGATACACGAAATATTTTTTTAATATCTCAGGTGTAAAATAGCTAAAAAAAATGAGTGTCTGAGGCGTGTCTATTTTAGAATAGGTGTGATGTGACCTCTATTTTCGTGTATTACACGATATTTTCATACAAATATAGTGTGTAATTGATCGATATTGTTTCTTACCACTTTATCCCTTCTATCTTGATTTAATAACTTCTGACAATTAGGAATAGTTCCATCTTTATCTTATGATAAACTATACATACATAATTATTAATAGGGAAATATCAACGATTGTACATATAAGCCTCATACTTATATGATTTATTAGTTTTAGCTTCGCGTTAAATGTTGTACAAGTACATTTTATAAAGAATACTTACCTACGTGTTATACATAATATACACATGTACAAAATGGATAATCTTCTGCTTATGCATTTTTAAATGATAAGAAAAAGACGAAGATAATTAAAACACAACATTTTTTGTCAGTGCATTTTATTAACTACATGATTTCGTGTACATTATTCATTACAAAAGATATCTGAAGGTTCAACTTCTCAAGGTTGTCGAAATTGTTTATTTCCTAAGTAGCGTATAATAACTATAGGCTCCTTTGAGGATCTAAAACAAAAAAAAATGTATGTCAGCATCAATGCCAGCATCAAAAAAATTGTTAAATTCTTATATAAGAATCTAACAATTTAATTGATGCTGGCACCGGGGTTTCAACTCAAAGGTTGTTCAAGTATATTGAATTAAAAGCGAACATCCAGACAAAGACCTGTTACGGTTTATCATAAACGCCTTATTAGTCGTTAGAGAAAATGGATTCAGAAGTTTCCTTTTAGCATTCCTTTTAGCCGACTCATAAAGGTATTTAACAGTATAGATAAGGTATATGTGAATGTGGCAGGTCGATTTGAGATCTTGCATCAAAGGTTCGAATCCCAGTTACGATAAGATTTCCGTTTTCGGATTTTCGTGTAGAATAATCACTTTGCGATAGGCAGATCAAATCATCATTATCATCACCATTATCTGTTTGAGTCCACTGCTGAACACAGGCCTCTCTCATAGACTCCCACGAAGTACGATCCTGAGCCACCTGCATCCATCGACTTCCCGCATATTTGCACAGGTCGTCACTCCATCTAGTGGGGGGACGTCCTACACTGCGATGGCCAGTACGAGGCTGACACTCGAGAACCTTACTTCCCTAACGGTTATCGGTTCTACGAGCTATATGGTCGTCCCGTCGGCACTTCAGCTTGCTAATTTTCTCAGCTACCTCGGTTACCTTGGTTCTATTGCGGATGTCTTTGTTACGAACTCTATCACGCTGAGAAATACCGAGCAGAGCCCGCTCCATAGCTCGCTGAGCGACTTTGAGATTCCTCAGACGGCCAGCTTATCAAATATTGTGTTTTTTTATGTAAAAAGTTGTATACCTCACCGGTGGTTCATGTAAAGGTAAGTGATTATTCCCATGGACATCTACAATACGAGAGGGCATCGGAAAGACTCGCTCATATTTCCTTTGTGTTTGTAAAGTGCAAGGTTATGAAGGTGGTGAACTCTTGAATTTAACGCTCGATTGTTTTCGAACCAGCAACTGGCTTGCTTCGTGCTGTAACTTGCAAACTTTCATGTGTGTGACTGTAAAATTGCGTTCACGGCAAGGCCCCTCACGCCCCGCGCTGACGTACCGTTATGAATGTCGAGAGCGTCAGGTCCGTGAAGGGGCCGGCCGTGAAGGTGTGGACGCGCCTCAACTGGCCTGACAGCAGCAGGATGCTTCTGCGCTGTCGCAAGCCCCCCGTCCACCATTCGCTCTCGTACGGCCCCAACATTGCATTACCGCTCTGTAATGGTGTTGCCAGTACAAAAAGGTGATAATTTTAAAATCATAAAGTATTTTTTTCTTGTTTATCGCGATAAATTTGAAATTCATGAAGTTTACACTGTTTATGGTTACAGGACAGACGATTTGTTTTACATGCCTGACGTTACCCAGGCTAACGTCAGCTTCGACAGCGTCTAATTACGAACTAAAAATTTTAGACGATTTGATTTTGGATTCGGAAAGTTTGGATTTTATCGGATTGTTAAGTTTAAGTGCTGACTTATCACGTGCTCAGCGGTAAAGGAAAACATCGTGAGGCAACATGCACTATTTCGAAATAAAAACGAAAAATACTTAATTGAAATCCGTATTGGGGTCTCCAGGTGGAATATCCACACATTTTTATCATTAGCAGCAGGAAAAAAGTTATAAATGAAAATGGATGGCTCGGTTGCTCATAGGTGTTGTTGTACCAGGGATCTTTGGTCAATTTCTAAATGGGGCAAGTTTGTGTGCAGGCACAGATAGATATCCCGAATTTTGATGTGTGTTCGCAACGGGTCATAAAGGTCGTTAAAAACTTGTAAATGCCATTGACAACATAATTCACATGTTGTCCCAGCCTTACCCAAGTGGCGTAATGATGATAATGGATACTTTACCTTCACGATCACGTCGTTGCTGTGCCAGCAGAACAGGAACAGCTGGGCGATTCCGAAAACCAAATACTCCGCCATCAGCAACTTCTGTGTTGTGTTCGTCGCTGACTGTGGGTGTACATGGAAAAAGAAGTTTGTGCAAGTACATTCCAATGGCACATTTTATACGTACCGGCAATTGTTAGCGGGTTTGTGTGTTTGATAGCCATAATCGGACTGTGTAAGAGAATTTGATAAGGAATTAGTTGATAAGTTCTTCTGACAATCGATCACCGCTAGCTATGAATATCAGCAACATAGTTTAGGAAAGTGGGCTTCTACAAGAAGGTTACCTCCCTTTAAGAATACTTCTATTTTATGCTTGTTTTCTTCAAGGCCAGGAAACACAGTAAAATTATTATTACTCAGGGCCAATCAATTATACGAACCTCGCCGAACGGATAAGGCAGAAAAGGATCTGCCCGACAAACTAGTATTATTTAAAATAACCTAGTATAATAAAATACAATAAATGGCATTCCACAAGTGCACAAATATGTAATACCAGCGACTCGCCCCGGTTTCGCGCGGGTACAATGTATTATTCATATAAACCTTCCTCTTTAATCACACCATCTAGTAAAAAAAAATGCATCAAGGTCCTTTGCATAGTTTTAAAGATCTAATCATACATAGGGACAGACGGACAGCGGGACGACTTTGTTTTATACTATGTAGTGATTATAATATTAATTTTATATTAATTATTAATTCACTCACCGTCAACTGAAACGCACTGAAGCAAAGCACTGACGAGCACATTATTACGTAGAGAAACATCACCGGGGACAGTAGAGAGTTGAAGAGTTTTGAGTTCCTGCAACAGGCATTTTTTGTATTTTTTATGTATTAAGTGTCCTAATGTTATTTATAGTGGTGGAGGAAAACATCGTGAAAGCTGCATATTTTCGAAATAGTAACAAAAAAAAGGTTAGTAATCTGAAGTGGCCATACAGCTCGTAGAACTAATAACCGTTGGGGAAGAAAGGTTCACGAGTGGCAACCTCGTAATGGCCATCGCAGTGTTGGACGACCTGTGCAAGTGCGGGCCGTCGGTGGATGCAGGTGGCTCAGGATCATGCTTCGTGGCAATCTGTGGGGGAGGCCTATGTTCAGCAGTGGACTCAAACAGGCTGAAATGAGGATGATGATGAACAAAAAGTTCCGAAAATTATATGTGAAGTCCGCTAATCCGCAGTGGGGTCGCGTGGACTATGCCCCGATACCCTCTGTACCGAGGTTGTTATTTGTATTTTTTTCTGTAGAGTAGTTAGAATTCCATATTATGATTTGATTTTGACCTGTGTGGAAGTGGTTGGGTATTAACTGCCAGCGACCACTACGATCCGGATGATCTATTATAGTCTAACAAAACCCATATTAGCATTAAATATAAAATTTGTATTATTCTGCAAATGCAATACAAATCTAAAGAAGTGTGTGATGACTACTAATAATATTAACCTTAAAAACTATGTTACCACGTTTGTTTAAAGTGAAATGATAATGATATCTCTTTTGCCCCAAGCCACTATAATCAGGCCTTACGATTCAAACGTCTATTAACCTAATTTATGACTCCGTGGCGTAGTTTTCAAGGTATTGGCTTCGGCGGTGGGGTTCGTGGGTTCAATTCCCATACAGGACAAGTATTCGTGTGACGCACAGATAATTGTTTCGGGTCTGCGTGTTTGCCCACGTGAAATTTATGTTTAAAACGCTTTTACAACACACGATAATTTTACCCTACACTAAGGGTAACTTAAAAAAAAATAAAAAAAAAAATATTTGTACCTAATACTATTGTAAACAATTCTGTTTATGTGAATAGTTGCAGTTATAATTCCTCTCAAGTTTTATTTTCCTTTATGATTTTCAACATGGCTATGAGTCTATGAGTCTGTCTGAGCAATACATTCATTAAAATTAATTTAATAATGCATTAATATACATGACTATGTTAATTATTGATATTATTGCAAAATGTGTCAATGTTAATGAAGGCGTAATAAATCCATTAAGAAAACAAAGGTGTGATTAAATAAAATTTGAGGCCAATTTCAAAAATTCCAGTAGTTTCTAATTAATTGTTATTTTGTGTTCTTCCGGCGCTTGTTACACCGTATCAACATCTGCCGGTTTATTATCGATAGTTCTGGTATAGAATGTATCGATAAGTTTAATATGTTTTTAAGTTTGAAGTGAATATTGATTTTACTTTAGATTTTTAAGCAATATCTTCAATGATACAACTATCCCGTAATTTCATATCAATACAATCAAGTGGCATTTCTTTAAATTTTTCTTGTTTAAGTAATATTATAAATATAACGCTACATTAAATGAAGAAACATTTTAATTTTATGATTGAAAAAATAAGCAAATTCTGAGAACTTGTTACTTACCTACCGGTATTAGTATAAACTTTTTACACTAATTTCATGTTTTACTGTGGTTATATGCTACGGTTCACCAAGATTTCGTTTATTACAATTAACATTTTCAGCTCAGATATACGAGAGTGAAATTAGCACTAAATTAGTTACGTCGGGACTATGTAATCCTACTCTAGGAGAAAGTTCCTTTAAAAACAAATATTATAATTATTATAAACAACTATTATAAACTAACTAAGAAAGTCCTATCTGTCGAATACTCAGACCGATTGCCTATTTTTTTTTATATACCGATTTGCCTATTTAATATTGAGCCGGAACTAATAACTACTAATAAGTTTTACGTAGATGATCGCAGGAGCTTAAATGTAAGGATGAAATTTTCATTTGTACATAGGGTATGTACAAATGAAAATACAATTTTTTTGAAAGATTTTAAATGCACAAAATCTTTTAAATATATTAATTCTTGTAACAAAAAGTGTGCCTTTATGATTTGTATATTATATTATATTATAATATTCTTCTCTGACTTCGGCCTACTTTTAGAAAATATAAATGTTGTTGCATATATGCAGTATTTTGTAGTTACATCACAACTTAAGAACAAAGCACAAACGGTGCACGGAAGTGTCAATGATAAATGGTAATAACAAAAAGGTATTGTAATATTTTGTTACGCACCGAGTAGTATTACTTTACTCTGGGTATACTACTTTACCATTTAAATAAATTTTAATTACTCTGAAAAATTAAAAAATCCTTCCTTAGTGGATACCTATCAACTAACTGGCCCTACCCACTGAGAAGGGCCTCAAGGAAGAACCCCAAGGGTTTGAGGCCCTTCTCAGTGGGGCCTGGCTAGATCACCGGTTCTGCGTTGGATGAAGCTTTAATAGTCTAAGGACTGAAAGCATAACATCAGTTATACATAAAAATGTTAACTGAATATTGATAACTCTTATCAATTTCAACCTAAAGCTAAACATTTGTAGAATTTTATGTTGCGAACACCCATGCAGCAGCTTCCCTGTAGTCTCATCTGAAAGTGGACATTTCAGTAGACCGGTGTAAGATCGAAGACTTTACACCTTGCGCATCGGTCTGACGATTGTGGAAGCTGCGGCGGATTCACATATAGGGAGGGAACTGTTACTCTAATGGTGTAAAGGATTTTTGTTTAAGTTCAATTCTGGACATAGGCTCAATAGGTTACAGGTTACAATCACGGCAAAAATTTCAAGTGTTTCTAGAATTAGTTTCATTGTTTTCACTGTGGTAGAGCCACGCAACAGCTAAGAGTACCGTGACCTCTCGTTTGGTCTGGTGAGTGAGGACACTTTTTTAAAAGCTGGAAACGTGTCTGCTATCGCTCGGGACTTGATATCCATGGATGGCGGTAATCAACTAATATGAGATCTGATAGGAATTTTCCTGCCCGCTAACCATCTTTTCACATAAAATAAGAGAATACACAACAGTTGTTAATTAGTCTGCCGCTTGATAAATTTAAATGTAAAATCAAAAGTCAACTTATGGTTAAATCATATTACACCATTGCGGAATATCTCGACGACGCCAATGTGTGGAGTTAATACTGTTGATACTCACGTAGGGTAGAATAAGACTTATACCGGTATGTTATATTATAAACTGTATGTTATATTTTTGAAAAAGAGCAACTATTGAGTTTTTTGCAGGTCTCTTCTCAAAATGAAACTGCTTTCCGAACCGGTGGTACCCTACGTACCTATATGTATAATTTTTTATGTAAAATTTGACGATTCATAAGAACGCGCAAGCATCTATTTGAATAAAGATATTTGATTTGATTTGATTTGAATAACGATTATATATTATAGCATTTCCATTGCAGCATTACAAGTTAGATTAAACGCTGGAATTTGAATAATTTAGATAAATAAATGTATGTCCATTCAAAGCATTGTCTATTCACAATAATTTAGCATTTTAGCTGTTCAAGGGCTGCCTAAAAAACAGAGTAAAATATTATATACTTAGGTTGTATTAAAACGTGTATATCTGAAATCTAGCGACATGATAAATTAAGGACACAAAATACTTAAAGTATGGCTGCCGACTTAAAAGTTAGATTTTGAGGCGATGTAAGATTATCTATAAAAATTTCATGGATTAAACGAGACAGACGATGATTAACTTTGTGGTCTGTCATGGTATTTCATTTGAATATAATCCCATTCCATTTACTAAGCGGGTTTTAGTTGGATTAAAGTTAATTATAAGGTGGTAAATAACAACAAGGTTAGACACCTTATCGGAGCAAAAGACTGTCACCATTCTTGGATGATCAGGGTAGAAGCATTGATGTCACGGAGGAGAGCAACACGCACTCCGTTATGCCCAATCATCAGCAGTTAATCTTGTTGATTTCTCGCCGACACCGAAAAAAAGTCGTGAAAGCTTAAATAATATCAAATAATAATTTAGCCTTACTTCATAAGGAGATTATGGATCTCGTGCAGTTCCTTTATAGTTGCTGCGGCTTGTCCCTCGCTGACTCCCCGACCGCTGCTCCCAAAAATCTGACTGCATCGCTGACGGAGCAAGTCCAGCTTACCACCGAAGAATACCATGATGACCATCACGCTGGTGTCGTAAGCAGCCATTATACCACCGCCGTAACTGCACATGACGATGTGGTGTAATACGGTCACCCAATAACCCGGTCCGTTGTACTTATCGAAAGGCACCCAAGCGCTGAATATGTGGGGAAAAGGCTCCGTGCCGTTATGCAAAGCCTCGCGGTAGTTCTTTGACGACAAATACCTTAACAACGGTGTATTGACAACAGTTATGACGGTCATGCACACCAGAATCCAATAAAAAAATACAACCCGACGGCAGTACAACGTATAGGTGTCAATGATTTTAGCTTTCACAGGATCTTTGTTCTCCCTTTCGTAATTATCGGCTTTGCAGACATAGTCGATGAGCTCCCTCCATTGGCTTTGCCAGAAGACAAATGTGTTCGCCTTCACGACGCAGACTATGCTCAGCATCGATATCTTCAAGTTGGTGAGCACCAAATCCAAGTTGTTCCTAATCTCAAACAGTTCCATATATTGAGTGAACACGAAAAGCGTGACAAGTGCGTGCAAAGAATTATAAGCGATTCTGCCTAATTTATTATCCGGCAGAATCAGACCCATTCTCTTTAAAATCCAATAATTTGGACCGAGCAGTGGTCTCCTCGGATCTTCCAATCCGTTCAGAAAGTTGGATATCATTCTGTTTGTTTCGTTTGTGAGACTAAGGAAAATGTCGCTAGAAAAATGGCTGCGTGTCGTATATATAGCCCTCACACGAAGAACCCTCACGTCCAAGAAAATCTCTATCCATAACTAGAATAGTACAAACAGTGACAGTTGCATTTTTAATGATATAAACTGTTTTTTTCTATAGCGTTTTGATATTTTTCGATGAAAGACATTCGTTTCATGTGTATTACAAACAAAAAATGGAAAGAAATTATTTTATGCTAATTCTTTGTCTACTAAATATTTTCTCTCGTCAACAAAACGTCAAACTCTTTAGAAATACAGCGTACAACATTTTTATCTATCATATTTAAATATTTTACACAAATATATGAGCGCAACGAATGTGGTACAGCCAAAGAATACCTTTTCTATAATGTTTATATTTTAAATATTACAATATCTCTTCTTATACTTTTGCGTCTCGACTGGTAACCGCGGGGCCAAGAATCCTCTTGAAAGTTGCCAGAAGCGATGGTGCTGCGGGTGCCAACAAGCGATGGTCACCATTAAGTGTTCTTTCTGCTCATTTAGTTTTTTTAACACAAGAAAAATAACTTCCATTGTTACGTCTTTGAATGAACGTTACTTGATCCTGTAATTCGAAGGATGTTAAGGGAGAAAGTCATACTAAGCGTAATAGACGATAGTGAAAAAGAACGTTTATAGACAGATTCCTAAACTCGAACTATAAACTTAGAAAATATAGCTATACGTACAATTATGTTACAAAATATAAAATATTGTGCCTTAATTTTACATTAATAGTAATATTATTTAAAGTGATGCAACTTAATAAGCTTTTCAGGTAAAAAAATAAGGTAACAAACTACATTATGGTGCTTTTTCAGGGCATAATTGAATTCGATAGCTTATAGTTATTACAATAGAAGAGGCAATATTAGAATAAGAATTAAAACAATTATTGAGCAAGACAGAATTATCGATATACTGTGTAACAGCACTAATGTAGACGTCACGGTTAAACGGTGTTATTGCATTGTAGTCGAAACCGATAATTTAGACGTCTCTATTAGGGCTGTGAAATGTGGGTGTGGCGGTCGCACCGGGGAAGCCACCTATGTAAAAAAATAATGAACCCATCACTGTACGGTATCGTCGATTCCACACGATGTATAATTATGTTTTTGGTGTGTCATTAGCATACGACGTTGGTTATGTCTTTACTGACATTAAATGCAAGGTTTCAGCTTTAGCATTTTAGCTATCAATCGCTGACTATTCATTACATAAGTAAACTATTTTGTATAATTTTACACACTAGTTTTAGGCTGCGGTTTAGCTCGCTGGATTTAGATGTAGTGATCGGATAGATTTTATGTCCTATAGGACCCGTACTTTTTAAAATACGTATAAAATAGTACGCTATTTAACTCTCGGGCTCGTAAACTACCTATATATAAGGCAACGTGAACGTGATAAGAATACAAGTCTTAAAAACAGAGAAAAGAGAGACTGATAATCTCACACAGAATGATCATAATCAAAGTCAAAGTCAAAATTGCTTTATTCACCTTAGGCTTACTTTAAGCTCTTATTGCACGTCAAAAACTCACCACCTATTAATGATCAGAATGATCAATTCAGAGAGATTAACATTCTTTTGGCAACTCAAATGATATTTGAAAAGCCATTTGACAGCTGATTAGTTAATTTCTACGATTATCAGTGTTTCAGAAAACGGGCGTCAGTGTATCAGAAACCGGGCGTTAGTGCTATCGGATTTTTAGTGCTCTTTTTGTATTTTTTTGGGTTCCGTACCCAAAGGGTAAAACGGGACCGCTGTCTGTCACTCCATCTGTCACCAGGCTGTATGTATCTCATAAACCGTGATAGTTAGACAGTTGAAATTTTCACAAATGATGTCGCTATAACCACAAATATAAAAAAATACTTAAGGCGGCTCCAATACATCAACTTCGACACAACTACTTACCAATTAGTTTATTATAATGAAAATGATACGGATACGGAAACCCTCGTGCGCAAGTCCCGTCCGTACTCGCACTTGGCTGGTTTTTATGTGAGAATGCGGAAAGCGAGCTGACGGTTAACCTGATGTTAAGTGGTAACCACCGTCCATGTGGTTGCCATCTTTTTAATAAAGTGGGCCCGGCTACCTCACTCACCAGACGAACCGCAAAATTATAACCCTTCCACTTTACGCCGGTCCTCTGTGAGGTCGTGGTACTTCCCTGGATGGATCTATCTTTTCGTGCAAGTCAAGATTGTTTCGTGGTCCTACCACCGTTAAAAATTGTTTTACCTGTGTGAGAGAGGACCCACATTGAACAGCGCCTTACGCTATAACGAGGCCCTTGGGCACACACGAATTCGGATGCCTCTTAGAAAAAAACTTTATTGCATCCACGGCTACCTCCCATCGGAAACTATAATTATATAGTCTTCCACACTTGGTGTACAGTGGAAAATACAACCTGACTGTTATTACTTAGCCATTTCATTATAATATGCTGTCTTTATGAAATTAAATATATGAAATGAATTAAATAAATACATTTTGCTTATTTACGAGATTAGGCTCGGGCCTAACAAATTCTCGAATTTTAGATGAATTGATTACCAAAATACTTAGACTCATTAATTGATTACCAAAATTCTTAAGACTAACATCCACGGAAGATTTTCATCGTTCTAGTCACATAAATATTTAAAACGTAATTGGCAATTTATAATTCGGCAATGTAATAAAGTCCTTAAACCCATATTTAATTACTTATTTTTTCCATTTTTTTAAATTATACTTATCACCTATCACTGGTTAGAGTTGTTATCGCTAAAACATTCTAATTTACTGTATAAACTTTTTTGTCCGGTT